GTAATGGTAAAGGCCAAACAAGAACACCAGCCCGGTTTGAATTTCTTTTTCTTTTCCTTCCCCCAGCTTTTATTCTCGCTCCCTGCAGCTTGTGTGGCGATGCCCAGAGCAGGCGGCGAAAGCTGGGGTGATGTGTCCTACACAGCAATGAATTCACTCAGGGCTGGCCAGCTGACACAATTTCCTCACAGAGCTCAAAGCCTCTGCTCTGAGCATCCGGGGCAGGCACAGGATGCTGGTGGGTGTGAGAAAGGGCCTGGCAGATGACTAGCCCAAAGCTTTGTCCCGATGGCTAAGTGTGTGTCAGCCTCCAGCACTAATGCCAGGCTTAGGGCTGGCTCCCTTTTGGCTCAGTTTTTCCATGTTTACTGTAGTTACAGGACAACATTTACAAAGAGAGGGTTACACAAGTGATTTTAAAGAGGCAGGGTGAGAACACGGCCTATTGTTAAGGCTGCGCTTTCCACCACCAGACCTAGCTCTGATTAGTTTCCAGCACTTCAGCCACTTGCTCTGAAATTGTCCAAGCTGTTCAGGAGATTCCCGTGTTGTTCTGCAGGCCCTTTGGAAAAAAGGGATTTGCAACCCCCCTCCTGTAGTATGTACATGTGCACATCCATGCAGATGGAGAAAATAAACTTCAGTGCACACAGACAATCTGAATTTTGTCAGGTCCTCAGGGTGAGCAGTTTGTAAAAATAGCTAATTCATAAGAAAATAAATTGGAGCCTGGAAAACTGTACCAGCCCCTTGTCTTGGGTCACCAGCAAGGTCCAGTAGTTTGGAACCATGAAGCACCACTTGATCTGACAACAACTGCACCAGACTCTGCTCCTCAACACCAGCCACAGGAGGTGGGTGACACTACACCTTGGCCAGAATTTTATCTGTTTGGGGGAAGGAAAAACCTCTGCATTCTTCACACCTACTGTCCATCCCAGCATTCATCTCAGTACCATGTGGGTCTCTACTCTCTCCCATAAGCTCTTTTACATCCCATTCAGTCCATCCTCTTCTTCCCACCTTCATCTCCTGCAGTCCTGCTGTCCCAGTCCACTTCCTTTGCTCCCTGCCAGACTCTGGCCAAGCAGCTCCTTGCTCTTCTCCCTGTTCAGCAAAGCACAAACCTGGAGGCCTACAAACCAAAGCCAATGGGTAAAAACACACCTGAGGCTCTGTCCTGACAGCATCACCTCTTATCTGTAACAACTCCCAGGGAAGGAGGTTTCCTGGCCTCCTTAGGTGGTCTTGCAACAGTTTTATGATGGTAACAGGATGTTTTCACAACATCCAGCCTAAATCATCCTGGCAGATGAACAAATCAGTAAATTAAACTGCCATGGAAATCTGGGACTTTAATAACCACTATTAGATGTTGGCAGACTGCTGGATTGCACAATGGTTTTCTTTTTGCTGCACCAAATAAATGTAATTCTTTCAATCTCTTCTCACGTTTCTTCATCTCTTCTTATTGTTTCCTTCTGGACACTTTCCAATCTCCCTGCATCTTCCTCTGAGCAGAGGACCCCAAACTGGATTTGATGGCACTGATGATGGCTTCACAGTGCCACACATGAGTAAGTCACCTCCTGCACCTTACAGAGAACACTCCTTCAAATATAACTCAAAACATGATTTGTCTCTCTTGCAATAGCTCTTGCTGTTGATTCATTTGTAATCCACTAAAAATCCTCAGTCTTATTTTAGTCTATCCCTCTCCAGCTCAAACCTGACTTGGTAAAAGTGAATTTTGCTTTCTCCTTTGCAAATGCAGTACTCACTGTCTGTTTTTCTCTCTTATCTGGATGTGCTCTCCAATTTCTTAAGGTTTTACTCTGAACCTTAACCCTGTTCTCTCAAGTGCCTACAATCCCTCCCGACCTGTCATCATCTGAGTGTTATAAAATACCTCCATCTTCCAAATTGTGACTGAAAATATTTCAAGTTCTCCCCAAGAAAGTGACCTTGATGATATATCAATTGTTACTGCACTACTTGGATCAGTGGAGGGATGAAAATGCAAGAGTTTTTTAAGCTCCATTCTCTGCAACTTCTGAAAACACAGACATTAATTAAATACTGATTCCTCTGGTAAAGGTAGGATGCATTCAATTCAGTAGGAACTAATACAATTAATAAATGCAAGGGGAAGGCTGTTCCCCAGTGAACTCTGTCAGTGAGGTCAATCAGCTACAATTTCTCAGTCACAGGCTCAGACAACCAAAGCTGTTGGATGAACCCAGCAGCACAACCTTATCCATCCTGCCATGTGAAGACAAAGATTCAGCAAATCACAGCCAGTTGCTGGGATCAACACAAGAGAAGCATATCAGGGTACAGTTAATTTTAAACTGCTGCTTTACTTTGATATTACAGCATGCAGAAGCCAAACAAAGTTTCTCATTAGAGTTAAAAATTATTCCATTTTAAAAACACCAAAGTCTCATTTTAATAGATCACATCAAGTGATTGTCCCAGCTCTACTCAAGACTCCTGAACTAAGCAGGAAAATAAGGACCAGAAGAGCCTTTGTCAGGATAAGTACCCACTACCCACCATGCAGGGAGCCTGGGAAGTTCTGGTTACTTTTATAGCTGAACAGGTACAACCTCTGAGAAAAAATTCTGGAAATTTAAGAAACAGATCGTTTAAAAACTCATTTTATTTGGAAAAAAACTTTTTTCCACTATTTCTCTTCATTGCTTACAACCCTACAGACCAATATTTTTTAGCAGCAGCATTTCCATGACATACACAAAAGTCTTCTGAAATGACTACAGGAGAAAGTGTGAGATCTCACATATGTAACAATGGCATCACAGATCCAGCTAATTCTAAAAATTCTTCCCAATTTTTCATTCTTCAGAACCCAGCTTAGAAGAAAGAGTTTTCCTCCTTCTCTCTCCAGACTACTCAAGCTACTGTCCTTCAGCCTGACTGAACTCTACAAGAAATTGCACTTTTTAACTTCCAAGATTGTTTTTTTTTTTTAGTAACTTGTGCTCATGAAAAGCAGTGCACAAATTCCTCACCCATAAAATGGGAGCTAACAATAATTCCCAAGATCCAAAACTGCCAACAGCACCAGTGAGGCTGCAAAATACCTACAGCTCCTGACCAGGGGCAAGCAACAACACTTCTATTTGCAGCAAGTTAAGAAAACCACCTTCACTAACCACAAAATGGCTCTGGAATGAGAAGCCAAGAGCACCTGAAAGACTCCTGGCTACAAAAAGAGGCAGCACTAAATAAAGCAGAGTCAGGACGTGGCAGGAGAGGCACAAAGCGTGATGGCTTTCACCAGCCTGCTCTGTCCCAGCCCACATGTGTGAATTAAGCTCTATTTATAAGCCTTCTACTCCTTCTTGGGTTTTTTGTGTTGTTTTTTTTTTTTTTTTTAAATGACCTTAATATAGTGCAGTTGTTATTTTGTTTCTGTTGAACGTAGCAACAGGAAGCCCTGTCAGTCCTGCTGCAAAGTTTCCATTCCCCTGGCACTCCCATGACTGCCTTGGAAAAGACAGATTTCTGAAGAGGTGTTTGACAGGGTGGAAGGGAGAGGAAGAAGAGAAGAAAGCACACACACAAAACCTAAAATGCCTGTAAAACATGCAAAATGGAAGCCAAATTATTTTTTTTTTCTCTTGTCTATTGTTTGAAAGTAAAAGGCTGTGTCCTAATTTGCATTTTCTAAAGATTTCTTACTTCACTACCAGATTTGGAAGTATGGGTCAGGAAAACGATCTTTAATAAAGTGTTGCTTAAAAAAAAAATAAAATCAGTAGCATCTTTACACTCACACATTCCAGTAATGAAAGACTTCCATATCAGACAGCACAAATCTTAGCTTGGAAAATTATTTTCTCTAGTCCCTGGCTAACTCACCAACCAAACAGCTACAGAAATTAAGCCTTAACTTGTTAAAAACATAATAAACCTGATTTTATTACAAGCTTTGGCAAGACTGTTCTGCTGCTCAAAGAGCTTTACTGCGTGATGAGCAAAGATCGCTGGAGCTCCACCCTGCAGTGTAAACTCATCCCCACAGTATTTTCTCTTTTAACAGCTTCATAATGGTAGGGGAAGACACAAACACAGCTGCTCAAAGGAAACGTGCTCCAACACAAAGCTGCCATCAATTTACCATTTACAAAACACGTTTTCTGGAACATGAAACCACACATAAAATACAGGAGCAAATGCAAATCCAGCTAGGAAAGGTAAAACCAAAAAAAACACAGGTACTGACAAAGCAGAATTTGTATTTTGCTTTAAATGAAAATTATGTTCATGCAAAGCTAAATATTAACTTTTTTTTTTTTTTTTAATCACAGACAGTCCTTAAATATGGCAAAGCATAAGTAATAGAATACAATACCAATGGATTCCTGATTCATGGCATGATCTTTTTATATTGTTTCAGTGACATGAAGAATATGGACTTGCCCCCCACATTTGATCCCTACATGTCCTCCCATTGTTCATTTTTCTTCCAGCTAAGGCACAAACATCCCCAGCCTATGATTTCTTTAGACCTCAGAGTCTGTGCACACACCAACATAAACCACAGACCTTCTGCCAAAATCTCCCTGGAAACACAGAGCACGAGAGGAGATGCACAGACTCTCCAGGACCACCCTGGCAGCAGCAGTGCTGGGACCTCAAAGGTGCTGCTGGCTCCCACACAGCATCACCAACCTCGAGTGCATTCCAGGACATGGCTTCTGTCACATCCTACACAAATCTTGGTACAACCTTGCCCCATGAGGAACCTCTTGGCTCAAACTGTCCCCGGCTGAGAAAACATAAATGTGCCCTACCCCAGCAGTTGAAAATGCAAGGGTTAAAATAGCCCAGGCTATTTTTAAAAGGCTAAAGCAACACCACTGGATATCGCTCAGCTTTGCAGAGGCTACAGAAAGGAAACCAGCTGGTCACAGCAGCAGTGGAGTTTCTTTATAAAGCACAGCAAAGGACAAGGTGACAACACCTGCACTCACCACTTCTTCTGTGCCGTCCTTCTGAAAATCCACCTCGTCCTCAGTTTTCATCTCCAACCTCCCTGTGCAAACAAAAGGTCCACAAAGGTAATTTAAAAACAAATTTCTTTCAGTGCTACTGATTTTTTTTGTTTACTCAAACCAGTCCCACTCTCCACAAAAAAAAGAAAAGAAAATCCAACCCCCAAGGCCCTTCAACAAGTCCATTTGAACCCCTTCAAGTCCATTTGATTTCCAACTTCTGGTTTCATTGCTGACTTCACTGCTTCCTTGCTATTAATTTTAACAACTATCCTATCTGGGACCGAAGGAAACTATGAAACAGCAGCAAGCATGGGGTTAAACTCCTGACAACCTCTAGGTGAGGCCAAGCACATCTGCAGGTATTTGTCCTTGTATTTTCTTGGTTCCCATTCATCTCATAAAGAACCAAATTTTTTGCTATTTTCCTCCTTCCCATAACCCAAAGATAACACAAGAAGCCAGCCCTGTCCGCCCTCAATAGGTATTTTAAGCATTGCAAAAAAAATCCAAACAACAAAAAACCCAAACAAACAAAAAACCAAACCAAATCAAAAAAATAAAATCACAAGCTGCAAAAATTCAACCCACCTGCACTGCCTTAGGGATGAGAGAATTACCCCCCCAGACTAGGAAATCAAAACCTTTGCTGCTGCAGTTTACAAAGTCCCAGCTGACTTTCCCCTTCTCCACACCCTTGTGATGGTGTCACCACCACAGTTGTACAAATTTCATGTCCCAGCTGCTTCCTCTGCCTAGCCAAGTTTTCATTAGTCACCATTCCCCAGGGCTTCCCCCTGCTTACCTTTTTCTGGCATGAAGTCAACATCATCATTCTCCTTCAACCCTAAGCTAAGGACTCTGACACACAGGACACTTCTGGGGGAGTGATTTGATCAAAGCCACCCAGATAGAGAATGGCTGTGTCAGGGCTAAACCCCTCTCTAATCCCACTCCCACTCTCATTTTTTCTAAAAACATACTCTGGATGGATGGCAGTGCCTTCTGAAGGGTGACATATGCTTGCAGTGGGTTTACCCGTACAGGGATTTAGCAAGAGGAGCCTGCCATCTTCATGGGGAAATTGTCCTAACAATCGTCACTAATGGTTTTCCACTGCCTTTAATGTCTACCCTTGTTTTTTGGGACCATCTTGTTTTGCAATGATTTTGCCTCAATTACATGAATTTGTGGGCAGACTCAAAAATCAAAGGTAATGCTACAAATTTCTGTGAATTCCATTTGCTGGGGGCTCTGCTCGGGGTCATGGCAATGCCACCATGGTTGAGATCCTGATCCAAAGACAGAACACTCAAGTAAGAAATATTTGGTGCACTGAGGATGGGAGAAGCAAGCTCACCCTGCTGGTGAAGAAATGGAGGATGAAGACATTTTGCCCTCAGGATGAAATTAATGACAATTTTTTCACTCTGTCACTACTTTCTAAATTTCTATTAAGAAATACCCCAAAGGAAAAGTACTACAAAGCTATCACTGAGGTCTCTGGGTACAGAGCTCCTTATTGCACATGTGGCACTGTTTGTGACACTTTTTACCTGCTCATCCTGCCCCTCTAACAGGGGAAGGAAACTGCACCAAGAGCTTTTCCATAGGGAAAATGCCACTGGTAAGAATGAGGTAAAGACTCATAGGGTGATATTCTTCTGTCAAGGAATATTTTCTCAAAATGCTGAGATCTACAGGAGATATTTCTCCCAGGAGAACAGCTAGGGAGCAGTATTTACAGTATTTGTTATTTAAGATGGCAGACCCAACCATTAAATCTAACCTTGCTTGGTTTGGTTTCTGCCAAGAAACTGCAACTAGTCTGAGGTGTTTTGTCAGCACAAACCTGTGGCATCTCTTCTGTTCTCTTCTCACCCAGCCTGGCTACTGTGGTATGATTTCATAACCTAACTCCTTTCTTTTTTAATGAGTATCATCTACCTGCCTGACCTGCAGATAATGTGCTTGTGGAACCCATTACTCAGCTCTAATGCAGCTCTGAGTCTAAAGCTAACCGTAGGAGGAGATGCCTCAGGAAAGCAGGATCTGCCTTCAGGGTTGTGACCAGTCACTAGATGCCTGTCTGGATAAGGAAATTAGCCTTTTGAAGTCCTTGTTTTGGGGGTAGGAGGACTTTAAGCAGAGGCAATGAGATGAACAGGTGTATATCTGGGAGCAGCTCCACAATATAAATAAAAAAATTAGAGACCTCAACGATCTGGAGTAATAGCAACAGCAATTATCAGCTGATTACATCGCTGATAAATTACCATGACAATAAATCCCTCTGACTACAAGAGTTTCTGAGAAATGGCCTTGTGACCGACACTTCCTTTGGGAAGGTTTTATTGTATTCCACCAAAAGACGTGATTCACTCTGAGAAATGACAAGTCCAGCACGGACGCAAAATTCTCTGTACAAACGCAGACTTCAGGGAAAACTCCCCAGAACTGGCACGGCAGAGAAAAACTGAAGGCTGCCACTGAACTCATACAAAAAATGTGCTACCCAAGGCTAGACACCAACATGAAAAATGTGCACAGCAATAATTATAAACAACAAATCAGTTCTGTTGAATTACTGCCATATCGGAGTTCTAGATGGTGCTCTATAGGAGATCAGTTTCAGACATATTCCAAACACTGAGCTTGGATTCACAGCAGTCACTTGCTTTTGCATAAAGCCAATTTTTTATTTGGGCTTCCCTAACATTTTGATTCAAAATAATCCTAAAGTACTTCAAGAGAAAATACTGCAATTAAAATTTTATTTCAATTATTCAATTATTTCTCATTGCACATAAACAACTTCTGCTTAAGGACAGGCCAGACCATTTTATTCCGAGACCTTTCAGCCCTAAATCCTTTATGTATTTTAAATCAGTAACAGGATCACCTCCTTTTTTTCTCTCCTTTCCATGTTCTACTACAGAATGATGACTTAACATTACTTTCCTACTTTAGCTACTATCTTACTGGACTGTCTGGTCCCTTTTCCTTTTCAAACCTCACCTAGACAACATCATGGCTCCAAGAATCCAGAGGTCTTTACCAAGCATTGACTTACAGCCACTCCCATCTATTGAACTGTGAAAGCAACACAACATTAAAACAGGCTCCTTCTGAAAACAGCTTTCTAATCCACCTTTAGATTTTCCTACTGATTTACTAATCATCTCTTGACTCATGTTTACTGGTTATCTCTTGACATACAAACATCCTAAAAATCCTGAACTCAACAAAAATGGATTTGCTGGACCCTCCACTGACAACCCCCTCCTCTCCAAGCCTTTCTCCTGCCCTCAATTATTCTGCTGTCACATATCAGAACAAACTCTCTACCATCACCCCACGCTGCACTTAGACTGTAGAAAAAGCTCTCAGCATTAGAGCAGTGAAACAGCTTTATAACTTTACAACTTCATGATTTATATCATGGCAGATTTTCTTTTAACTGTTTAAATGCTTTGTTTGTTTGTTTGTTCAGTGCTGGGAAAGCAAGAGGCATTGTATCATTTTCTCATAGCAAAGAAAATATGGCAACTGAAAAAAGTTCAGCTGCTTCCATTTAACAGCTGCCTGAACAGGTGGGATACACAGATCAGATTAGCTCCATGCTTCAGTACAAAATTCACCTACTGTTAAATCCCAGGCTGGAGCAACAAACCCATTTCTTTTCCATTCAATGTACCCCTTTATCTCCCTTCCTGGAGTTACCTGGTGAAGTTTTCCATTAGCTGCTGCTGCATGGACCTGAGGCTTCTATGCTGTCCCCACAGTCCCACCGCTCTCCCCCATCACCACTCATCCATGGGGAAAGACAGTCCCATTTCCCAGCCCACAGGAGCCAGTAGAACTCATCATCCGAGTTCCAGCACTGCTGAAATGCACTGCCAAACACCACCGCCTGCTCTGCCCGACAAAAAAAGCTCTGAAGACCAGAAAAGGCGGTGGGGGTAGGGTTCACTGGCCGTTTTAAATGACCTAATGCTGCCAATTAGGAAGCTTTGGGCAGTTCAGAGGGACACTGACAGCTGGCTCAAGTCGACAAGTGAAGAAAATCAGGAAGGCCTTGTACCCGCTGGCTCCACATTAGCAAAAATAAACGGGAAAAGAGAAGGAGTAGCACCAAGGAAATGAACCCTCATGCCCATATGAAAGCTTGTAACTTGAAGATAAAGTAATCCAAATAGCTCCCTCCCATTCATTTCTTCTCCAGAGAGGATTTACTTGCTAGAAATTCTTCTGTAGGAATTCATAGGAGATGATGTTCTGTTCTTACCTCCAATGCCAGACAAGCAACATGTATTTGAATTGGAAATTTCTATATGTAACTACAAATTCTTTGCTTCTCAGAAGAAAAACCTCAAACACTTCCTCTCCAACACAAGCCTTCAGCTCTTACTTCCTTTCCTTTGCTGATGACGTGACAGAGACACGCCTACAAAGAAAAAGCTAAAAAGTAGGAAACCAATTGATTTTTCCTACCTGTAAGAGGCTCAGCTCCTTGCATTGCCAGGCTGACATTCTTTTTCTTTGCTGAGGAACTTAAACCCATTTGTCCATTAAGGCTGGTTCCAGCATCCACTGCAGGCTGGGGCTCAAGGCCCACTTTTTCTGCGGCAGGTACTTCATGGGAACACGGTGTCTCTGCTGCAAAAACCACCGCATCAAAACTTGTTACCATTTTAGGAACTTTATCCAGAGAAGAGGCATCATTAGCCGATACCAAACTCTTCACTCCCACATTTTCCAGTGACTCAACAGCCTGTAAGCGGCAGGAACACGGTGAGAAGGGCACTGCAGGTACAGCTCGGCTTTGCTTTCCATGGGGCTCAGGCAAGCCCTCCCCCTGAGCCACTGTCAGGGCAGGAGCAGTGTCACTGTCAGCAGCTGGACAGACGGTGTCGGTGCTGGAGTCACTGTCACACGTGGGCTCCTCTGCGATGGGCTGGAGCGCTGCCCGGGGCAGCAGCTCCGTGTCCTCCTGCTCCTCTGGATACGCTGCAACAGGGGCTACTGGCACCGGCCTTGGCCCCTCCTGATCCTCACAGCCATCGCTCGGGGCTCCCACCTCTGAGACATCCTTTAATTTGGGGGTGCTGCTGTTGGGGGAGATTTGTTGTAAAGTTTGAGTGGGGTCTTGCTCTTGGTTCAGCCCAGCATTCGGACAAGGGTCACTTTCCGCACCCAGTGACTCATCTGCTGATGCAGGTCCATGCATGGTGCCTTCTGCTGCAACTGCTGCTCCAGCCTTGCAGTCCTCTTTGGGTTGGTCTGTCGCTTTCAGCCCAGCATCCACATTGCTGCTGCCCACCACAGGCCCCGCCAGACTGCAGGCAGAGGGTTTCACAACAGCAGCGAGAAGTTCCTCCGACAAAACCTGCTCATTGCCATTCACATGAGCCTCCTGCTCAGGCTCAGCTTTGCCTCCTTCAGCTTTCTGCGAGTGGCCCTGCTCCAGGGAGCCCTCATCCCCGGCATGGTCCCCAGGCCAGGTGGCAGCTACTCCACCGTGCTCCCCACCGTGCTGCCAGGAGAGCTCTGCTGAGCCTGCCCTCGCCGCCACTGTTTCCTGGTTTTGTTTAGATTCCTCATTATGAGTTGCAGAGGGTGTGCCTATTAAATCATCCTCGGCACAGTCTGCGCCCTTGGCACATGGAGCTGATCCAGGGTCATTACCTTGCAGAGCTGCCTCCTGCCCGGGAGGTGCCACTGCAGCATCTCCCTCCTGACTCACAGCCAGCCCCTCTCCCCTGGCTAGGAGAGAGGGCAGTTCCACCTTGCTGCTCCTCCCCTCCTGCTCTGAAGCACTTTCTGCTTTCTCAGCTCCAGCCTGGGCAGGCTCTTTCTCCACCAGGGCTGTGCTCACATCCTCTGGAGGGAGCGATGCAGGCTCACGTTCCTCACGTTCGCTCTGCTGAGCAGTGTCTGGTTTGAAGCTGTTGCCCATTTCACCTTTAACACCAGCTTGAGCAGCAGAAGGGTGACGGGCAGCAACTTCCTGACCACTGCCTGCAGAATTTTTGCTTCCTCCCTCTCTGCAGCTGCTGGTATCAGTTCCTGCTGGCTCCTTTTCACTGCTCTCCATGGCTTCAGCCCCACAGTCAGAGATCTCACCACTCTCCTGGAAATGTGCAGGTCCTGCACCACTTTCATTAGATCCACCAACATCTCTGTTTTCAGGTTCAGCATCAGGGCCATCAGTTTCCACACTGCCTTCCAGTGAGGGCAAGCCGGATTTTCCATCTGTGCAGCCTGCTCCCACCTGCCCTTCTTGCTCCCCACTCTCACTGCTGCCATGGACTTCCAAACCAGGAGCAGGTTTTGATGCACATGCAGGAACCTTCACCCCATTCACTGCAGGCAATGCTTCCCCAGTGCTGGCAGTGACCTCCTGCCTCACTGTGACACTGGCATCAGCTTGGCTTTCTGTGAAGTCCCTGTTTACCTGAGCAGTGCACGAGTCCACATCAGTCTCTTTGTTCCTGCCAGTCTTGCAAAGGTCAGCAGGGACACTGCCAATGTCACCATGTGCATCTGCACCGTCACAGGCCGGTACCACTCCCACATTTGCATCCTCCCCATCCGAACACCCAGTGCCATTGACACCACCGAGTAAGGGCTGAGCAGTGCTGGATGACTCTTCCTCAGCTGGGTATTTCTTTGCCAGGTTTGCAGTCCTTTCACCAGGCTCTGCCATCCCATCCTCTGCCCGCCGCTGGCCCTTAGCCTTCTCAGGAGCCCCAGCACAGTTCCTGCATTCAGTCTGGCCCATGGCCACATCCAGGCCCCCCAAGGAAGCTGGGGCTTCACCTGCAGCTGCAGCCACAGCAGCGGCACTGTCAGCAAATTCCTCAGCACTCTGCACTTCCTGATGGGCACTGCCTGTACTGCCCACGCCAGCCTGATCCAGAACAACTCCAGCCGATGTCATCCCAGCTTCCTCATTTGTATTTCCAGAGGATGGAAGATTTACAGCACCATTTAGACTTGCACACAGGCTCACAGTGCAGTCCTCATCTGATATAGTCCCAGAGCCCTCTACAGATCTTGGCTCCGCCTCTCCTTCCTTTTTACACAATATCACTGTGGTTTTACTTTCACAGATGCTCACTTGACAGTTTGCATCCTCCAGGCTAACCATGTCTTTTGGTGCATCATTAAAAGCTCCCAGACTGCTGCTGTTGCAGTTCTCCTCCTGCTGGGTTTGGTTTGAGAGCTGCCCAATGTCCAGGTGAACCAAATCAGGTGGATTTTCCTGCCTTTCTTCTCTTGCCATTTCTTCTAGGCTCTGGAAAGTAGTGGTCAGGTAACCGTTTGGCTCTGCTCCTTCAGCACAGCTGTCTCCAGAATCTCCCAGTACAGGCTCTGTCTGCTGCCTTAAACTCTGTAACAAGACACAAAAGAAAAAAAAAAACCAAACAAAAACCAAAACCAAATTATTCTGTCATGCAGTCACTCAAAACCTGTATCTACCTAATCCCATTCCACATTAATCCAATTCCTGGTGTCATCCAGGAAAGGGCAACAAATGTAGTGCAGTGGGTATTTTACATGTTGGTTTTATTAGGAGGAGGTAATATTGAAACTATTAGAATGAGAGAAACATTGGTTGAAAAGAGCATCTAAAGGTCATCTAGTCCAACCACCTGCCTGAAACTGGCCTACTGCCACTGCAGCATCAGGCCAACCATGACTTTATCTTGCCAAACTTCCAACTTAGTATCCACAACCTCTCTGGGCAATCTGTTCCCATGCCACACCAGCCTCCCATGAAGAATTTTCCCTAAAGCCAGCCTGAACACCCCAAAGTTGAAATTTGTCCCTCTTCCCCCCTGCTACACCATCTGCCACCACTGAAAAGAACTGTATTCTCGGTAATTGCCCTTTGAGAAGCTCTAGTCTCAGTTCTTCAGTGCACGTAGATTCAAGACCTGTAAAAAGCAGAATTCAGTCTACCAAATAAAGCAAATATATACCAGCCTAGTCCCAAAGGACTTCAAGCAAATGCTCCTTAGGAGCACCTTCAGATCCCTACCCAGCACTCCCCAGGTCCTGCCAGCATTCCTCAATTTTCTATGGATGGCAATGCTACTTCAGACATGGGCATTGGGCTGGCAATGTCCAAACACACCAACTGTCTCCTGCTCCCAGGACTGAACTAATAATCTAATCTATTCCTGAGAACTGCAGGCATAATTAAATATCTGAAATTTATTTTCTAATTGGAAATAAAAATTTCAAAATGATGACATATTATTAAAATTAATACAAGCATTATCATGGAACAGTAGAATCATAATCAATTCCTCTCTAATCTGCATTTTCCTTCCAGAGCACCTGCTTTGTCAATCTTTTATAGTTCGATACAGTCAAACCTTTTTTAAAAAGAACTGTCTGTTTCAGTATTTCCTTTCATATTCTCTTTTCTGTAGAAGAGAACATATCAATGCTGACATCTTAGAAATAGTGGCTTATTAAATTACTGAGCAACCCCATGTACACCCAACAGAGCTCTCACAGGTTTGCTTGGGGTTTTGCACCACAAGCTTTCCAAGGCCACACCAGTTTCTCACTAAGTACCTGAAACTCTCCAAATGAACTGTGTAAAATCTTTCATTTCATTTATTTGTAAAAGGATTCAAACAAATACATGCATACTAGAAGTCTAACTTGAACAGTTCCCTGCAAATTTTGTTTAAGTTTTCAGTTCTCAGAGAAATAGAACTTCACACCGAAACTGTCATCTTAACCACCCTGGTAATTGAAGCAGCTACTATGTTAATTGATGCATCAAGGGGAACTTCTGGGTACTGCATATACCAATAGTGGCTAAAATCATCACTGCTACCTTGAGGATATTGCATTCACTTGCCTTTCCACACTCTGAGGTTTGCAAACATTGAGCAGTGCCACAGACTCACTGAGTCACAAACCACTAAATGTATTTCTGGTGCTTGCCACCAATCATCTGCTATTCAAAATAGCCCTGCTGCCCAGCTCCCATATATGCTGTCAGCTATGCCTTGGAGGCATCCCAGGACAGGTCAGCACTGGGGGCAGCAGTGTGGCATCTCCATCCCTTGAGGAGCCCCAAGGATGGGACACAGGGCTCTGCGTGCAGTGGTACCCACAGGCTGCAGATATTCTTTGCAAGGGCAGTGTGTCAGGCCCTTGGTGGCTGTAACCCCACAGCAGAGCATGGACACTGTGCTCCTGGATCCTAGCCAGGATGGACAGACACACAACAGTGACACTTGCTCAGGAACAAGCAGGGTTTTCAAAAGGAAGGGCCACAGCAGCCCCAGCATCCTCACGGTGAAGTCACTCTGCTGATAGCCGGAAAAATACAGCCATCACCAAAGGAAGCCAACAGGCGTTCAACTGACCAAAATAAACCTAAATGAAATAATTACAGGGCTGCTTTCCAAATTCAAATCAGATTAGATCTGAAGCAAAACAGTGGTGGAAAGTAAAGTCTATTTCTGATTTCACTGTCAGGCAAAATGTTCCCAATCTGGTATTTGCATGAGCAAACAAGCAGTGAGCTGGATATGCTTGCCATGGTTTAGGGTATTTTGATGGAAAGGGGAAGAGATTTCACAGTTAGCCTGTATTTGCCACCAGTTCCTGTTGAGATTGGCAGTAATTAACATCTCAGGTACTCAGAGAAGGTGGAAAATGGCTCAGCATGGCCCATTCCTCTGCTCATCACCCCAGCCCACTGGCCGTACACAACAGTTCTCCTCTCCCTTAGTTAAAGCAACAAAAATATCCTGTTATTTAGATCCTGCACCTTTGCAACCCCGGATATGTGATCTGATGAAGGAACACCCACAAGTGACACTAACTGTGACAGACATGTGGGTGTTTCTGAAAAATGGCAAAGTGTTCTGATGTTTTACCTTCCCAACTGAGACCTGGGGCATCAATTTGAAAGCAGCAGGAGAAAGCCCTTCCAAAGCCCTACAGCTCCTGTGGACCAAGCACCACAGAGTTTGAGAGGAGCACAGTGAAGGGGCCATTATGGACACAAACCTTGTATGGCCAAGGCAGGCTTGTCTTCTGAGTCCTACACTGAATTGCTACTGAAACAGACATATTTTCCATCACCCATCCCAGAAATGTTCCTCTCAGTCTCCTCTCTGACTCTGAACTTTCCATCTCAACAGAGATGTCCCCACTGTGCTCATAACCCACACCCCCAGCCTCACTCCAGAGCCTTCCTTAAGCTGCCCAGTGTCTGCTAGACAGGCAGAGGGTCAGCATGTCTCCAGGGAGGTGTTCCTGCCCATCCAGGTGGGTCCAAAACTAACAGAGCACGCAGGAGCTGGGAGCAGAGAGAGGCAAAACAGAGCTGGTGTTGCACAGCCCTGAGCCTGCTTCTCTCCTGAATGAGAACATTTGCTGCCTAATACAGCTTAATCAGATCTCCCCATGCCCAGTAATAAAAAGCAAATGGACAGGTGTCCACCTGGATGATTGATAATGAATCCAGAGAAAACGCCTAGGGAAACGTGCCCTGAAGGATGCTGACATGTGAGAGTCCTCCCCAGGTGCCAGGCTGCAACCAGCCAGACCTGCTTCTCTTCCATCCCCCCAGCCTTCTGCTCACCTGGTGCTGGTGGCTCTGCATGTGCATCTGGAGGTGCCGAATGTCCCTCTCCCAGCTGGCTGCTGTCCCCTCCCTGGCCTCAGCCGTCAGCAGGTACACGCCGAGCCCACGGTGGTGCTTCACGCTGTAGTGCCCCGAGTGCACCGTGTGCGACAGGGTGCTCCACGAGTCCGGCTCCCTGGCTCCCTCCCTGGAAAACAAGGCTGGGTTAGTGGGCAGGCGAGGAGGGATCCTGCATGGCAGGACACGCACGCTCTCCTCCGCTCTGGACAGCCACCGAATCATGGCAGCGGGCGGAGCACAGCACCGGCTCCAGGGCCAGACACACACACGCACACAAACCCCTCAGTCCTGAAAATAATGTGATTTAGCAGTAATGCCAGCCACAAGATTTATTGCACAAGGTCCTTCTCAGGTAGAGATCAGTGGTTTTACCCCAGACTATGACAGACTAGCAGCTAAGGGCACAACTGCGTTTTAAATCAAATTTATCACAGGTGAGGATCACCAAAGCAGCTGTCACAGAACAGCAGACACCTGAAAGGCAGAACAGCAAAGGGTAAGTTGCAAGGAATGAAAACTATCATGGTACAAGTTCTACACCAAAGCCAGCACACTGCTCACAAACACCCAACAGCCATCCAATTGCAGTATTTTTTTCACTCCTGAAATGAACAGAACTTGTTCTGTGAAACTTCCTCTGTGCAAGACGTTCTCAGTGTTGGGAGACAGCTGTTTTTCTGCAGCACTATCATGGGCTTTCTTTTTACCAATCCAAAGGAAAGAAAGGAAAAAAGATGCTGTAGATCAGAATGAAAAATAACTTAGTAGGTAAATGTAGTCAATGTGAACTTTTATTCAGTCCTCTCTTTTTGAACATCAAACCTTGATTTTGTACCACTCAAAGCAGTAATGTCTCAGGTCTCTCCAAGCTGCACAGCAGCTACACTGGCCCATTGAGGTGGTGAGCAAACACTGAGGTGTTCACCAACATGAGGTTCACAGATTTCATTTTGAATCAGAACTGATTCAGGAGGCCTGAAATCTATTTTGATCATTCCAGACAGAGCAGCTTGTGCACCACCCCACCAAGCCCTGCATCCCCCAGGAGAGACATGGAGCCAAACCCCAGGAATGTTACATGAACAGGGCAGGACACTGACCTGCTCAGGAGTGCAAGAAAAGGGAATTTCCCTGTCTTCCTTTTACCAGGGATGCACCTGCTGACATGCAGCCCCACCTATGAGCTGGGGTGGGCATTGGACTAGATGACCTCTAAAGGTCCCTTCCAAAGCAAATTACCCTGTGATTCTATGATGTCCCCTCTCTGTTGCAGAGACTAACCATTTTCAGATCTCCCTTTGCTGCCCAGCTACAAATTTCCTTGGAAGGGGAAGAGCTGTGATTGTTTTTAAACAATTAGGAATTCAAGAAGGTACTGAAACACAAGTGCATGCCATCAAACAGGTAAAACTACACATAGCTTTCAGAATCTTTGCTGAGAGGTCCTGCTTTAAAATTCTCAAACCTTTCTTATGGGCAAGGGCCCCCAGGAAGCCACAGGGCTATCTCTCTGGGAAGCCAAGTAATCTAGAAAGCAAAGTCATACCAAGCAAACACCATGATCAGCAACAGGAATGGGCAGAGCAGGCTGGGGAAACGGTCAAATGGTTCATCAGAGGCAGAGAAACCTGTGCAAGCAATGGTGGTGGCAATGGCTGCCTCTGCTCTGCCCCAGCACACCCACCCACCCCCTTCTGTGACTCATTTTGGGTTAAATCTGCAAGGAAATTCACACAAAGCAATACTATGGCTTCCACCATTCACTACCACTTATCTCAGTCATGACTTGACTCCAGCAGAATTACACTTGATTTAAGCAGAATCAATATTTCCACAGAGAAACAGAAGGAAGCATCCAGTTTCTGCTGGTGATTGGTATAAATCCACAGAGGCACTGAAGTCAACAGAGCCATTACAAGTAACTAAAGAAATGACCTTCCTTTATCAAGGAAACACAGACATTTCTGTCTGGAGTGTTTTTCTCTTCAGCTGTCATGTATGAGAAACCACTGTACTTGGGGCCACTCTCAGAGTACAATGAGGCAGTGAGCACAAAGCCCACACCACCCACTCACGGGGACAACAGCAGCGGATTAAAGAACTGCGCACGAAGAATCTGCTCCACTTTCTCATCAGCTTCAAGGACCCTCACAGGCATCTCCAAGCCAGCACCCACAAAGCTGCCTGCATTACTTGTTGAGGCTCAAAGGCCCTCAGCAACTTCAAAAGGATCAATCTGGAGCAAGATGACAGGCAGAGTCCCCTGCGACACCGTGAGTGTGTCCACCCCTCCAGCAACCCGCAACCTTCACACGGCCCAGATGGATCAAACAGTCAATTCTGCTTACAAAGAGAGCTGTTTCTTTTTTTTTATTCAAGATGCCAATCTGTGTTAAACTTTATGAAAAGCTTTAAACCTTTTGTGAAAGCAAGAAGTTTCTCACATCCAGACAAGTACAAACTCCAAGCTCTCATTTTTAGTAGCAGTCACCTTCATTACACAAAATCAAGCAGTGAGATAGCAAATGGTTCAGTCTATTGCCTCCTTCAAACCATCCCTTTCATACTCTGCTCCATCCCAGCACTAATGGTCTGAAGCAGAGAGGACAAATGAGGATTCGTAAGCATTAACTCATTTTCCCACTGTTCCTGTTGTTCAGGCAATCACTTCCAAGGCCATTTGAGAAGACTCTCCTGCTCATTTGCCCTCATACACTGAGCTTCACTGCTCATGCCTTTCCTGCATGTCTCACTGCAAGTCCTGGGTTTTACTGAGAGATGATAAAAACACACTTTCTTCCAGGAAAAAAGCTTTGCTGTTACACATTTTGTGCTTCCTGGCTGTGAAAGATGCTTGTTTTGTCCAGACTTGGAATTTCTGGATAGGTTGTATAGGAGTGCATATCCAAGCTGCTCTACGAGGAGATAAAAACAGATATGCAAATACTTCCTGGAGATTTATTAGCAAAAATATGTATACAAACTCCAGCCTTAAAGAAGTTTGAAAATCTGCTTTTGTTCAGCATAAAAATCCAGTTTGCTGCATTCTGCCAGAAACAACGGAAATCTGTCTTCTTATGAGATTTAACCATCCTGGGTCAAATCTTTCTCATCTCCCCTTTTCAACAGTTTCCCATCAAAATACATAACAGATACCAGTGAACTGAACATTTTGTAAGAAACATTTCTGAGCTCAACTTTCACAGGAGAAAGTATCTTGGTTAAAAAAGCAAGGCCTGCCTGAGAAAGCTGGTAGTGTTCACTGGCTCTACACCACCTCTGCACAAGCATGCCACAGCCCACTGAAAAAGCCTGTAAGAAGTCCTCCAGCTCTGGTCAGTCTTCTGTCCCATGAAGGTAAACCCAGAAGGGAAATTTTTGGTTGAAATTATGAACAGACTTACCAGCCCACCCTTAATCTGCAGAGACGTGGCTTAAAGAAGGATGACAACTTCAAACAGAGAGAAAGAAAAAATACTTCAAAATACTCTCAAGCCATGTTCTGCTCCATCTGGGAACTGAATAGATTGCTAAAACTACAGGATCACCTCCTGCCCATCTGGCATGCAAGAGAAGTTACAAGATCATAGAATCACAGAATGGTTTGGGTTGGAAGGGACTTTAAAGATCATCCAGTTCCAACAGGGATAGGGACCCTGTCTGCTAGACCAAGTTACTCCGAGCCCCATCCAAGCTGGGATGGGACAGTAAGTAGAAAGTGGTTTTTATTTAAACCTCCCAGCACTGCCCAAGTAGACTGGACCCTTTTCAAGGCAGAGCTACACTGTACTCGTGTGCTGAATCTGTCCTTATCTGGAAGGGGAGAGTGAGTGGCGGAAAAAGGAAAGCCCACACCACACGGCTCCTGGCTTCCGGCAGATATGGGCGAGAGATTTTTAAGAGGGAAGATAAGAGAGAAAAGGAGAACAAAAAAAACCCCCAAAAACAACAAACCACCACCTGATCAAAAGCTCTGCTTGCCCTCAAAAGCTGCAAAAACTGCTCAGTAACAAGGGTCTGAAATTCGAGGTGCTGACGCTTGCAGCAGGCGTGTTCTCCAGTACCAAGAGACAAGGTTTGAGCTGGAGGGGAGAGGAGGAGGAGGGAGGAAGAGATCAGAAGATGAATGAAAAAGCCTCAGTGAGTTAAGCAAACTTTCATGTTAGGCAGATTTATCCCACACTTTCACAAAGGGGTGAGGAAGGCAGTGTGGGAACTCAAGGTGTTATTTCCTGGGGATATCCCCTCCAGACTTCTGAGCTGAAACAAAACAAGCTCAGTAGCATTGCCAGCTCTTAGGATCTTACTGCAAGCCTGACAACAGCTGTAGGTTTATTCTGAAAGCACCAGCCCCTAGATCCACATGGCAAAGAAAAAACAAAAAAAAAGGAAAAATCAATTAAAAAAAAAATAAATTAAACAAAGCCCCTCCCATTATGGCCGCATGAAAAGCTAGGAAAAGGCCAGAATTTAGATGCTCTTATCTGTAAGGTAAATAGAAACACAACTAAATTGAATTCTAATCTTAAATTCTTTTTATTACTATTATTATGGTATCACAGTGAAAATACCAGATCAGACAGAGTGTGACCTGGGATAAGCAAGGAATGGTGCCTACAGGGATAGGATTGGTGGTGATTGTGCAACATGCTCACAGCACAGGCAATTTAAATCAAGCCAACAATCCCTCCTGGGAAAACCCAGCACCCACACTCAATGCAGTCACCAGCATTTAAATCAATCTTAGAAATCTGACCAAACACAACTTCAATGTTATTTGCAGAAGTGTTGGGGTAATGGAGGCTTTGTATCTGCATTATCAACCTTGCACCCACAATCTTCAGTGATATACAGAACACTAATGCACACAAACACTTTCTAGCTCTTCCTTGTTTTTATAACCATCCATATGCACTGTATGTGAGAACCAGAAAACACATGCAACCAGCATGTGCTAGAATGGGTTAAAATAAATAAAGTGTTTTCAAATTTGAAAGAGATTTAATAAACATAGAATTCACACTTCAGGTGTTTCCAAGTGTTCCAAATGTCCCAGGAAAGTAGAAAAAAAAGTATGTTTCTCATATAAGAAAAACCTACATATTGCTCACTAATTTGAATAGTTTT